GTGATTTTAATAGTTTTTTTTTTAAAAGCTGAAAATTGTTTATTGTAGAGATTTTAAGATAAGTGTTTTATATGTTGAAGTATTCTAATAGTCATGAGCAGGGTACACTTCATTTTATTTGACTTGTTATCCTTTGCTAATTATTGCTATTGTTGGCGGGGAAGTGGTCATGAGAATTTCACATGCATTGTGCACTGCATTAGGAGTTTCTTGTCCTGAGTGCAGAAAGAGCAAGGATCTGGATTATGTTTAATTTTGAAATTTTTGGAAGATCATCATTCAGTTTAAACTATGTAAACAACTGTAGCCATGGAATAACATATTACGCTTTTGTTTAGAATTCTGGAAATCACCCCCTTTTTATACTAGTGATGGAACAAAAAAGGCTTATATTTAAAATGAATAGACAGAAAAGTCAGCAAGTTTATTTTAAATTCAGTGAATTCAGGAGTGATTAACAGTAAGTACAGTTATTTACTAGCTCCTGTCTTTGACGTGTCTTATGAATATCTACAAGTATATAAACCAGTGTTTATAAATTTTCTTACAAAATTGTATTTCTGTAGGGAATCAGCCTTGGTAAAAAACAATTTGAGACAAAGTTCTTAGCTTTATATTTTGTAGCAGAAGTGCTCAAAAGAGAAGTCCACTTGCTGATAGAGGACTAAACAAAATAGAACGAGAGTTTACTTGAGACTGTACAGCCTCTCTGAGATGATGAAATGTTGATGCGTTTTCAGTGTTCCTAAGTGCTGGTAGATCAGTTTCCAAAAGAACTTCATTGTTTCACAATTTCAAAGAAAATCCTTGCTCACAACCTGTATTAGCAAGTTTTCCATCATCATCATAATAAATTACTTGAGACTAGGAAATTTTCTGAAGAAGAGAGGCTTGTCCACGTCCTAGTTCTGAAAGTTTCAGCGATTCCACTTTGCTCTGATAAAATGCTTTTAGCAGAGAGCATTACAATTGTCAGAGTGAGCTGATCACCAAAGACAATAATGACAAAACTAATACATTTTAAATATTTTTATAAAAAAGGGTGAAATCCACATGGTCTTTAAAAACACAGTTAACTACAGATACAATGGAAACTGAAAATCAGATGTAAAACTCTAAAAATACAAGAAGATAATCACAGATAAACAAGAAATTGAATGAGATAAGAAACTATTGTGCATTAATCTATCAGTTAGAAATCGCTTGAAATGATTTCGCACAATAGGATTTAAGCTCTATGCGAGAGGAGGTCTCAGTTGTTTCCTTCCTGCATTTTCTGTTCTCTATTTTTATTTTATTGATCATATCTCAGTATCCAGAACGTTATTGGAATGAGCGATCAATAGCCTTCCTCTGACAATTTCTTTTCCTGTTTTATTTCTCTTGGACTTAGGAGAAATGTATATATATGCTCCAATTCCCTTATTTTTAGTGCATAAGTTTGTTCATAATATTCTCTTATTACCATTTTAGCCTCTGTTATTGCTGTAGCACCATTTTTCATTTGTTACTGAAGCTTTGTAATGTCTTTTCTCTATCTTCCTAAAAATTAACAATTTTGTAACGTTTCAAAAAGCAAATTTTTATCCTAGTTATTATCTATTTTATTTCTTTTCTTTTTGTAGTTTTACTTCTACATTTGAGCTTTATTTACTTTAACATCTTATATTTTTTGGAACTTTATGAACTGTGTGCTCTGCTTATTGCTTCCTGTGCTTCTTTCCTAAAATCCACAATTAAAGTTATTATGTTCCTGTAAAATGAGCTTTTAATACAGTTCACAGTTGTGATACGTTTTGGTTTCAGCATCTCACAGCTCTTTCTTTCTACAGGGGTCTTATCCACATCTCCTTTGGTCTAATATTACCACATCCCCACGCACACTTCCTGAGTGCCTCCAAACTCTAGTTACAGGCCTTTCTTAGGTCAAAAATGCCTTTTTCCCTACAAGTTTTTATGCCACTGCCCCTCTTTATTCTGTGCCACCTTTGTTACATCTCCTGTTTTTGCAGTTTGAGTGAAAACACTCTGTCCTTTGAGGTTTTACTTCCTTTTGGATCTGCGTATCAGTAATGAAGAGCTCAAAAGTGATCACCCTTTCTGTCAGTTCATGTATTATATAATTGTAACAGCAAGGTCCACATATATATGGCTACAGAAAGTTGAGGTTCAGATCCACACCAACAGAGGAGATCCACATCATGCTTTTAAAAAGATGTAAGTTTGCTACAGCAGATACGAGTGTATTCAAGTAATTCGTTATCATATGTTGAGGCAGGAGACAGCATCAACGGTGAAGGGGAACGCTGTGGGAAAAGATCTTGCATGACTCAAAGCCCTTGGCAGGCAAGAGAAAGAATGGCATGCTGTATCCGTTTCGTTAGTTTCTTAAGTACTGTGTTCAGAAAAAGTGACTTGGTGTCAACAGTCCTGCGTGGCTGGAAGGATTATTCCTAGCCTTGGCTCGAGTCAAGGACACACACACCAATAGCACACTCTAGGCTATCTGTAAATCACATTTCTCTCCCAGTGAAGGGGTTTGCTAGCCCAACATTAGCCAGCTTCACCTAGCGAACAAATACATTGCACTGACTCCTTATTTTACACTTTTCTTGACAGTAACAGAAAAACTGTGAGGACTTTGTTTAGGTTCTAAAAGTTGTTTCTGCAGTTGAATCTCTACAACTCTGTTGTATTCCAGTTGTCTTTGTCCCATTTTGCTTGTGTTGAGCATTCTGTGCTCGGTCCTGTGAGTACCTGGCTCTCCCGACTATCTGCTTAGCTGTCTTTCACGGCTCAGTTGACGGGAAATCCGGCCACCTTTAACATCAGGAGGCAGCACCGAGCTGACAAGGAAGTGCCCAGTCTTGGAGCACAAAGGGCTGCTTCGTTTCCTCTGAGCCCTTCCTGAAGGCTCCTGCCCTTAGAGACAAAGGGGTCCAGCCCTAAGCAAGGATCCAGGAAACGTGGCACACAGGTGAGACAGATGGTGACCTGTTCACACTTTCTGCCCTGCATCCACTGAGACTCTCGTCTCAGGTGCAGTTTCATAAATTCTTACATTGGAGAAAAAGAACACATGTCATTTTTCTCTGTCCAGAGCCAACTCAAGCCTAATGACTCACTGACATGCAGTTGCCTCTGGGCTCCATTGCAGTGTGGCTCTGAAAGCAGATTTACATTTGTGTGCGGAGATGAATTCATACTGAATATTTTCAGAATACCCTGGGCTTGGTTTGTATTTTGGTTGGAGGTGTTTCCTTACCTATGAGAATACTCTCAGTTCTGATTTCATGTACTTCTTTTGAAAGAGATAATTAAAGTTACTCTTGTTCCTTGGAGAAAAGACAGATTCATTAAAAACATCTTCATATAATAGTTTAAAAGATGTTGTTGTCTTAAGTTATCAAAATAAATCTTACCAGAAATAACTACTGTCCAACTGGAAGACATAATCTTAAGGAAGTAATGACTTCCCTTCTCCTATGTCCTTTCCTCTTAACATGGCACTTCTAAAAATGGGGACATTTGGAAAAATTCTGAAAGAACATAAAAAACCACTGTACACAGTACTTTGGTTAGAGAAATACAGTTCTCAAAGTACAGAATTAGAACCTTGTTGGGTACTTCTGCATCTAATCCTGCCTTACGTTGGCCCACCCAATAAGGGAAAAGCTTGGTGCACGGGGTGAGCGTGGAGAGCTGTGAATTCATCAGGACAGCAGCGTCCTCGAAGGCCTGTGCGTCTCCCGGAACCCAGCCTCCAGCAGCAGCCTTTCAGCCTGGCCGACACAGCAACAGCACGCCGTGGTTTCAGGTAACCACGTGCGCACTGGGAATGTCCCGGACCCTTGTTCTTGCAATTCTTCAGAGTAGAGGAGCTCTCAGAAAAATGACCTCATATACAAGCCTGGTCAAAAATACGGTGTGTCTGGGCTGAGGATTTAGCTCAGTGGCACAGTGCCTGCCTGGCAAGTGCAAGGTCGTGAGTTCGATTCCTGCTACTGGAAGAAAAAACAAAACAAAAACATGGTGTGTTTAAATTTTTTAAAAATTCACAGTAAAGTTACATTGCCATTAGTCACCCTCAGACCACCCCCACTCCTGGCCTCCAACACACTTATCCCATTGTTCTTGCACTTTCTGAAGCAGATCCACAGGTTCTCTCTAATAGGTGTTCTCATGAGGTATGATAAAACATACACAGTGAATGCCGCTGCTGAGTGCCATCCCCTGGAAAGGCAGGCTTGTGAGAGCGTGCACTTACCACATCTGGCACTGTGTGACTCTGGCTCTTTCCCAAGTCAAAATGAAAAGTAGGTGTTTGGAATCAGTTCAGGACACAGGCAGCCACGGCAGCACAGCTAGAGACACTCAGGCAGGAGGACGCCAGAGCCGCTGCAGGACGTGGCGAGAGCGATGGCGGAAGTGTTCAAAGTGGGAGGATTTTTTGGAGGGCGTAATAGCAGTGTGTCTTTTTTAAAATTTACATGTCACCGTGTATTTTTCAATCGTGCCTTCTGTGGAAGAAATTCTTCCTCACAGTGTGTCCAGCCTCACATTGATGGCTGCGGATGTGGATGGAGTCGCCAGGAATGGATTTGATAGATGAAGCTTTCGCTGAAGTGTGAGAACTTGGCTGCCGCCTGCAAAGACGGGTATCGGAACACAGTCCACTCCTGGATTTGAGCGAGGCAGGAAGGAGATGGTGAACGGGAAGAAAACTAGGCCTACCCTGACATGTGCTAGTCAAGACTTCATATAAATTTAGATACTCATCAAGTCTGCTTTATTACCTTTTAAAGGTAGAAGGGATTGCATAGGTAGCACTGCCTGGATAGGTAAAACTAATTGCACATTTCTTCAGTGTTTGAGAAGATCCAATCTGACCGGGTGTTACTGACATGTCCCCCTGGGTCCCTGTGCATTCATTTTGCTTGAAAAGTAGAAAACATCACTCATATATTTGACAGAAGCAGATGATCACATGGGCTGATACATGTTCATTTTAATACTGGCAGTATCTTTGCATTGTCAAAGTAAAGAATAACAAAGTAAATCATACTCGACATGAAAATAGTATTGAAGTAAACAGAAATTTCTTTAAAACACGTGTTTAAACACTGTGATTCATGAGAATTTACTCTGAAAGCAATTGCACAATAAATTGAGGACATAACCACAAACAGATCTGATACATAAAACCCTTGGGTTTAAGCTTCCCAGCAGTGACAAAGCTGCAGCCTCACTAAATACGTTCACATAACTCTTTAGTATTATTATTAGGAAATAGAAGGGAGCACCTCCAGTCCCCTACATTATCCTCCTGTGTAAGAAATGACCCTGCTTGCTTATTTTAAATAACATGTCATTACTTTGTGGTTAAAACTACAGGGACTGGTCGGCATTTAGCCTTCCAAGTCAAATTTAGCTAAAAATGTCATAGTCACAGATACCCATATGTGTGTGTGAGAGAGACACGGAAAGAAAACTATGATTTTTTTATTCTGAAATGTAATAATCATTTATAGCAAACCTTTGTCTCTGTCTTGAGCATTTCAGCTGCCAGTTTCAGGTAATTTCCACACTCAGAAGACCTGTTGTCTCTGGGCTAACAGGCCAAGCCCTCCTGAGCGATCCTTCTTTCCTCAAAGAAGAGGGTATAGAGAGAACCCCCAAACTGGCTAATGCCTTATAATACTGTCAGGCAGACATTGGTAACTGAGCTTTTTAAATATTTTTGGAATTGTCTGTGTAAGAAGCAGATCATCATGGAGGGAACATTTGCTTCACCCTGCCGTTCTGTCCTTTGGATAAACTCCTGGCTTATAACCTTTTCAGTCCTGTATGCTGCTCTTGAGTGGCGGAGACAGTGGCACAATCCCCACAACACAGCATCTCGGTGTCTCAGAGCAGCACTGCAGTGCCTCTTACAGAGTGAGTGCTTCACAAATGTGCACCGAGCTACTGACAGTGCGGAATGCGTTCTGCCGTCCAGGTCTGGGATCTTTTCCTCCCTGAGCACAAGTGTGAGGTACGTTATTCAATGAATATGAATATGCTCTTTGTTTAACAGGTAAAGTTATTATCAAACCATTTCCTCTGGTGAAAATTTGTCTTTGATTTATAGAGCAGTAATTTCCTTTTGTTCACCTAAGGAATTCGGGAGCCATGCACACCACTTAGATTCCTAGCTGTCTGTAGAGAAAGTGTAATTGTGTGAGCTCTACATAAGACATACAAATGGAATTCCCACTTCCCTCCGCCCTGGGTCAGCTGGAGGCCACCTGGCTGCCTTTCCAGGAAGAGGCAGTGGCCCGTCTGTCCTCAGGACTCCCTCCTGCACCAGCCAACCATGGAGCCTTTACAATGGCCTGTGAAGATCCAGGTCAGGAACTCTGGAGGTGCTCAGGCATGAAGGTCTCTGTTCAGTAGAGCAAGGAAGGCAGAGTTCACTCTCCAAAGCAGCTCCACCAATGCGTCTGCATAAATGTCAGTGAAGGATATGGACAGAGGTGGCAGCCTGCCTTGATCACTTGATTCCTGTATGTATTCGGGTAATATTAGCACATGCAAGCACACACAGTGTGTGTGTGTCAGTGACCTCCAGTGTAAGGGTGTATTGCATTTGCCACGGCAAGGTCTTCCTGGGTGCTTCACCTGATTTAGCTCCAGTGGGACAGTGACAATTGTGTTGGTGATGTCTGACTCAAAAGAGCATACATACATGTTCATGGAAGAAGATTCCCCGTGAGAAATTAGCAAATTTCTGGGTGTCAGTGAGGATACTATCAAGATGTTTAAAAAGGCCTTTGGAGAAGTGAAGAGAAATTTGCAGAAGTGAAGAGAAAATAGCACAATCCCAGTGGACAAAAGTGACAGAGTCTGATGACATCCCTGGTGGAAGAGATGAGATGTAGGTGACGGTGACATTGGAGGGTTGGCTGGAAAACACTGGCGGTTACAAGGGCACTTGTTCCAAGATGCCTGTGGCAGTCTAATCCTGACAGCAGTTCATTGGTCCTGTAACTGTAGTGAGTTACAGCGAATGAAAAGCACAAACATCACAAGCGTCATTCACTGCCGCCTCCCCGTTAGCCTTCCTCAGGGAGCGTGACCCTCACCATCCTATTTTACACAAGAGGAAACTGAGTCACACAGGGTCTCTAACTCGCTAAGGAGGGCAAGAGGCGGAAGCAGCATTTGCACCTGGAATCCCGGCTCTAGAGTTCTTGCCGTCCCATTGCTTTATTTCTGCAGCTTTCTTCCTAAAGTTGCGTGGAGGTGCGGCGTGAGACCGAGCTGCCGCCCAGCAGTCTGAGCACAGACGGGGGAGCACCCGCTCAGGCGGGGAAAGGGCCTCGGGAATGCCGAAAGGCCGCCCAGTATTTAGCTGCTCAGGCAAAGCTGCTGGAAAACGGTGCCGGTCCTGGAACCAGCCAGGAAGAACGGGCAGGAGCGGAGTGAGAAGCTCCGTACCGCAAGCCCGGTCACTGACTAGAGGCAGAGTGACTCCGTTAGCTCAGGACTGTTGGTCCCCCTGCGTGTCAGCAGGGGGACAGTGCGCGCGGGATGGTAGATGCGCCCAGCTCTGGGGCACAGTTCTGGTGGAGTGAGGCCTTCAGGGCAGGAGGTAGGGCCGAGTCCCTTCCAGAGGGCAGGGACTGGGAGCTTCTACGGGGAGAGTGAGGGGAGGTGGGCCCCTCCGGACCGGCTCCTCCTCGGGTTTGCATCTCAGAAGCTCACCGGTGACGCGCGCTTCCCTGAACGTGCCTACCACGTTTAAAGCGCTCTCCGTATCTGCTCTGTCTGTACACTTTTCACCGTGTTGTGAAGATAAGAAGAATAATTCATCCCAAGTGGACTCCCATGCCTCCTTTAAGGGTACTTCATTTTTTCTTACTTAAGGGCTGTTAATAAATCACCCTGCGGCTAAACCCACTCCAGAGCTGCAGCCCTTGGCTCATCTGACCTCCCATAAATTATCTTCCTTACGCCCCTGGCAGCTTTCTATGATCCCTCTCCCCTTCCTTAGAAGGGGAGCCCCCCCGGGGCCCCCTAGCACGCAGCTCTGCCTGATGCTGGAGGGTGAGCCCCTCGACAGGTGCCTGTCTTAAAAGTGCCCTCCGGAGGGACTCGCTGGACGCTCCAAGTCTGCCCCCTAGACTCCAGGGCCTCCAGTCTGCCCTAGCAGCGATGTTTCCGAGCTGGCATTAAAATTCTTGCAAAAACTGAAAGTGAAATGAGGCAGGCGGATTGAGCAATCCGCAGACGGGTAACCGCCAGCCAGTGACCCGGGTGCAGAGCAGGGCAGAGATGCCCGGCGCTAGAAAGAGGAAAATCGGGAGCGCGCTCCTGCCCCTGGGGGGCCGAGCCGGGCGCTGCCCGGGAGTCAGTCCGGGCCGGGCCGCCAGGGCCACCGATACAGGAAATGGTCCGGGCCCTGCGGTCGCTTACTCCAGGGCCCCGACCTTCCAAGTGCGAGTCGTGGAGTGGATGAGTCCGCAGCGCAGTCCCGCCTTTCCTCCCGTCCCGAGCCAGCCGGAGAAATGAAAGCGGCGCCGGACGGACGCCCCTGGGCGCGGCGCTCCAGAGACGCGGCGCTGCTGGCGGCGACCCTGCTGCTGGCGCTGCTGTCGGGCGGCCTCACGCTGCTGTCCCTCCGCCG